AAAGATTCTAAAAATTCTGGGTGGCAAGTGGCCCATTGAAAAAGACTTTAAATCGCCAGAAATTGCTTGACTTCCGTTACAGTGAGTAAGCCATTCCTTTAGTAGGCTCTTTCTTCCAAGCTACAGATACATGGAAACTGTTGTTTATATTGGTAGCTGGAGCTTTAGGGTCCATCAGCTTCAGTCAAGTTCAAGATGGTTGCTGGTGCAACTAGATGCAAAAGGATAGATCTTGAGCAGATCAACTTGCCTATCTATATCTTTCTTCTATATATATAAAAATGGATGTGTATATGTATGTTCTAGCATAACTCTGGAATGCCTCGAGCAATTTCAACCAAACTTGGCACACAGATTACTTACCCTCTGGAAACAAATACGGGGGGGGGGGAGGGAAGACACTCCTAACACCCCTCGGGGTGTGTGATCTACTAAGATACAGCCTGTTATGCTTTATAATGTCTTCTACTGTACTGCCATAAAATGGCTTCTACTGTACAGTGCTGTGGAGTTGCCACAGTAATGGCTTCACAGTACTTCACAAGGGGGCTCTCTCTGATAAAGGGGAAAATCCAACATTAGATATTGCGGTGACATTCATGGAAGGAAGGTTGGGATAAATAAATACCCAGGCAGTGCTGGGCTATCAACTAGTATTATATAAAAATCTCAGTGCAATTGCATAGGATAACCTGAGCATCTATAATTCTGCATGTAGGGGGTAGTACTACTCTACATGTGAATGTGGAAAGGGATCAGAAACCCTAGCAATTCCTTTTAGACCCATTTATTTATCGTTTTTATTCCACTTTTATTCTTTTTATAAATAACTCAAAGTGGAGAGCATACCTAATATTCTTTCCTCCTCCTGTTTTCCTCCGTAACAACAACTCTGTGAGGTGGGCTGGGCTGAGAGGGAGTGACTGAGCCAAAGTCACCTAGCTGGCTTTCATGCCTGAGTGACTGAGCCAAAGTCACCTAGCTGGCCTTGATGTCTATGTGGCACTAGAATTCCCAGTTTCCTGCTTTCTAGGCCAGCACTTTTCCCTCTAAATGTTAGGCATCCAAATATATAATACACTAATAATATACACAAATATGCAGCTTAATATATAAATGAACACAAATCCATCTTCAGCTCTCCCTAGTATAGCTCAAACCCTGTCATCTGGCTGAATGATGCAATCATACCATAATTTTTAATTGTAAACTGCTCCACTGAATGCAGAATTCAATCCATCAGTCATTTAGACTGCTGGCCTTTGCCTGTCTGATTTACATTCAATGAATGCCTTTTTCTGGAGAACAGAAAACAAGAATTGATCTCATTATTGCAATGCCTATGTCCTTCATAACAGGATCAAAAGGGCACAGCTGACTACAAAACCCATGTAAGCCTCCTTTTTCAGTGAGCTCTTTAAGTTAAAAAAAAATCAAATAGATGAGTCAATTGCAAGGAAAAACGGGTCAATCTGAATCTATTTTGATGATTGAAGAATTTTGAGTGGCAAGAAATTTAATCTTGTTCTCGTGGAGAACATGTTTTTCTAAAAAATCAATGTAATCTACCAAGGACTTGGAAAGAACATACATCTCTAACATGCAGCACTTGAATAGGTCCCTGTACAGTATTATTTTGCTTTCAGGTAGACCAGAAGCCGGAACAAAGCAATGTTTTATTTAATCTAATTTTGTCAAAATTTAATTAATTTATTACAAGTAAATATGATTAGTCCCCATGTATTTAATGACTTTTCTCTTCTCTCATCCTCACATCACAAGCCCAGCAGCAACAGTTGGAAAAGCAGAGGTTGCCTGTCAATTTCAAAATAAGCCTTAAGGCTAATAGTTTAATGGACAATTAATCAAAGAGCCTTTAAAACTTATGGAGAATATAAATTGTGAGATAGTTGTGTTCTGCCTCTGTCTTGCTGGTCGGGGGCGGGGGCAGGAAACACATAGGAGGGGGTAGGAATGGTGAACAATATTTTAGCGACTGGGCTCTCTCTTTTAAGAGGGAGGGGAAGTGTCAAGAGCCACAATAGGTGGGCTAATGCTATAGAATGGACAGAGCCACAAGACACCTGTGGATTTTCCTGGTTTTTGGCATGCTCTTTTTACTTTTTAAATAAAGCCAAGGTTATCTTAGGCTTCAGCTTGGCTTAAAGAAAGTCAAACTTAGGGCTCCCGTTCTAGTTTGCATGCTTTTCCACCTCAAC